TCTGAGGTATTCAAGAACATTCTCTGCACATCTTTTGGAAATAATCTTTATATATCCATAATTTGTTTTAACAAATTTGAAGAAAAGTTGAATTAGTATGAAAATGATTGAACAAAATTCGTCAAAATCTTATTAAACGAATGCATTTTTTCTTGGAATTATTATGTATTACTTTTTATTATGTTATCATTCAATCATCATCCGATTATTAGCAAAGCAATGGATTAAGAAGCAATATAGAATGAATTGAATTCCTCCTAGTGCGAATTATTAATTTTAGATACTATCATTTATTCCGTGATTTCGAACTTGAAGATTTGATCAACGACGTTGGTGGTTGTGTTGTTGAGAAATATTTTTATGAACAAGGGAATTGGATCGCTTATATAAGAAAAGAGAATTTATTTTTAACAAAATTCTAGATTTTTATTTCTAACAGAACTCTTGCAGTTTACGAGTATGATTGCTATTTTATTTTTTCTTTTTGGCACATTTGTTCAGTAATAATTTGAAAACTTTTGAACCTTGCGCTTATCTGTTGTTATGGGGAAATTTGTGTATTTGTTTGAACAGCAGATTAGAATTTCAGGTAGTTCTTACAGTTAATGAGAAGAAGTTTGTACATAAAATTTCCCTGTTTTATTATTTTATGATTTTTCTTTTCTGAGATTTTGTACATAACGATTAATACGTAATGATAGTCACATTAATAATTTGTAATAATAATGAGTATTCAATGATAATGATAAAGCATATGTTATAGTAATGATTCGATGCCTATGATCAAGATTCTTTTAATAATAATAATGATTCGATGTACAATGATAATTTATTATTCTAGCAGTGATAACTGAATATTTTGAAAAAGTATTTAGTTATAAAGCAAGTTTTAAAATAATCCAAAATGTGTTTCTATTCGAAATATATTTTTCTATGTAACCTTTCTGATACAAATAATAAGTCATAATATAAAAATTGATAGTGGTGATAATGATTGCAATAATAACATCATGAGAACTTTAATCATTGAAAATATAGAATTCATTCATAGAAGTTTTTATTTCCTACCTACAGGAAACATATATTGTGTATATTCTAATGATTAATTAGAAACGAATAAAATGGAATATTGAATTAATTACAAATGATACTATATCATTTATTTAAGATGGAATAAAATTCTACAAATATGATTTTATTGATTAAATTTTAACAACATAAAGATTTTGCACGATAATTTGTTTATCCCATCTTACGGTGCATCTTATACAATATAAAAACAATATTCAATTTCTGTACAACCATTTCTTGCATCATTAAAAATTGCAAATTTTGAAAAAACTATTTTTCAAGTAATCTAATATTTCATCTTGAAATATAAAACAAAATAAAGGAATAATTCCATAAAAATATTCCTTATATTTCTATTTTTGTTGTAATACAAAAATTATATATGAATAGAATTTCTTATGTCGACAAAGTAAAATTTTCATTAAATCATTTTGCAACGAAACAAAAAATTACCTCTTCATAAAATTACTTCTTCTTTCGCTTTTTCCTCTTTTTCACTTTTGATACAACTTCTGCTGGTAATGTAAATATCAATGCATTACCTTCTGTTTCAATATTTTTTGCTTCCTATAATTGAATGAACACAAATGTATGCAAATGGACATAGAAATCCGTTTAATAGTTTAATTGAAGGATTGTTAATCATATAAAATAATTATTAATATTTTGACCTCATCCAAATGAATGAAATTAAAAAGAATAAGAAAAGTGTGAAATAATTATTTCTGTTACTGTAATCGCCGCGTTATTATTGAAATTATGGTAATCATTATTACTGTATTGTTATGGTAAATACTAATTACTGTAATATTATCCATTACTAATAATTTTAACAATTAGAAAAAAAAAGTGTTAAGAAAAACCCACAAATAGTGCATCCCAATTAATTTCAATTCTCTCATCTGCCTTCATCATTGCTCCATATTGCGCTTTAATTTCACCAATTCTTGCAGCAAATTCGTCATCGGATATTTTTTTCGTCGTCTATAATAATGAAAAAAAAAAAATAGAAATAATTTTTACCTTCTGAATAAAATATCCAGAATTTTATAAATTCCATTTAATTCATACTTAATATAGTGACCAATGAAAACAGTAATTTAGAAATGAATCGATTTTATTCCCTCTAATTCATGCTAACTTATTGTTTCTTTATCAATAATACAAAATAAATTAATTTTTGAATTAAAATACATACACCAATTTTACATTGTCCCGGTCGCCATTTATCTGGACCGAAAATATCAATATTTTTGTCCATAAAAATGTACAATGTCTGAAATTACAATCAGTGATAGTTAAAGAAAAATTGCAGGAAGAAAATTTAAGCTAAGTTTTTTATCTTTCTAACCTTATATTTTGGATCATCGCAATCAGCGATTTTCATTTCTCCTTCCTTTATTTCGGGCAATAGCTCCTGCTGATCCATAAATTTTTCCGTTTCCTCAATTTTGCATTTTGGATTTTTATGATTGTCAGCTTTCTTAGAATCCTTTTTTAGTTCACCTAATGATTGATCCTATAGTGAATGTAATTTAGTTTTATTTCATTAAAAGAAAAATTAATTTTTGAATGAAAAAGATGCAATTTTAACTTTCAAATTCAAAATTTTACAATTTGCTAGAAGAAAATTTGCAACCTTTTTAATACCAATCAAATCTTCGTTTTCTTGCGTTTTTTCGGTACGTTCGATTGTAATAGGTTTCTGTTCGGTAATTTTTTTCGTTATCTGAAATGATTCTTTTAAGGTAATTAAAAATGAAGTACCGAAGGTATACTGAAAACTAATAATGTTCCGCTCAAAAAATATCCAATCTAATTACTGCACTATTAACCATATCATTTCCTTACCAGTGATTGCAATTTATAAATTTGTTAATGGAATTAATAAGCTTGAAGCCTAAACAAATAATTAAAATACGCTAAATCTTACTTTCGCATTAGTATTTTAAAGTTTTTTTGAAATAAATCGAACAAAAACCTCTGAAAATTGCGACAAGATCTCACTTTTGTTTTACTACTAATATTCAAACTTTTGCTACCATTCTTCATTTTTGCTTTCAGTTTATTATTTTTTTCTGCTGACTTTTGTTTTTCTTCCAGTGATAACGATTTCTTTTTCC